CAGGACCTTTTACCCCCAAATACATCGGGGTACATTCCCTAAGGCAGGGATATTCTCTTACATAACCCAAATATAAACATCAAAGTCAGGGCATTTAACATAGAAACAGTGCTGCTGTCTAATGTACAGACCATCTTCCAATGTTGCCAAATGTCTTCATGATACTCTTGTTGCCCTGACCTCGGACCACACATTGCATTTTGTTTTCATGTCTCTTCGGTCCCCATTAGCCTGTAACAGCTCTCAGCCTTTCTTTGTCTTTTAAGATTTGACATTCCTGCAGAGTACAGGCCAGTTATGTTTAATCATTCCTCATTTACTAAAGAGAAAACAGATGCTCAGAGAGGTCAAGACATTTGCTCGAGGCCACACAGCCAGTGAGTGGGCCACCTGGATTCACAGTCCACATTCCATCTGGATCCCCAGCCACAATCCAACTAATTAGTTCAGGGCTCTCTGATAGCCTCATGCATATGGCCACAAGCTCTGTGCATCTTTGCAACGGCCTCATGAGGCTCAGAGAGGTGAAGTGACTCGTCCAAGATCACACAGCATATAAGGGGGGTGGGGGTCAAGCTCAAGCTGGCTACCACTCAGCTACCTCTTGAAAAGGGTCTGGCTTCCGATTCTGGAGTTGGAATCAACTCTTAGATTGCTCACCCGAAAAATAGGGATGGTGATTCTGATCTTACAGGGAGAATGTAGGGCCTGATAAGAATACCATTTTAATACAAATTGAGTGCGACATGTTAGCTTTATCTCAAAAAGCTTTCAGGGTGTCCATCCCCTCAGTCCAGCACTAAAGGCCATCAGGGCTCCGGTTCTATTTTTACCTCTCCGGTTCCTTGTCCTGAGCTCCTGTTTCTCCACCTGGAAAGTGAGGATGTTAACCCTCAAGGCTGCTAGAGGTATGAAGTGGGTGAGACTCTGGCAGAGGCCCAGCAGCCAGCTGGTACTTGGTAAACGTTAGGATTCTCTCCTCTGCACATCCTCTGCTTCAGCCAGAATGGCCTTTTCAGCATCCTTGGAGTGTGCCTGGGAAATCCTGCAGCACAGCGCTGCTCAAGCTCCTGCTCCCTGTCCTTCGGCCTCTTTCTTTTCCTCCCTCAGCCCTGCCGACCGCTTCCCACTTCCAACCCGCCTAGCCCCTGCTGGACTCCTTGGCGTCTCTGTCACTAAGGGCCCAGGCCTGCTCTCTCCAGCTAGAGTAGAATGGGCCGTCTTGGGATGTGGTGGCTCCCTTTGCCTATCAGAGAGGAAAGCCTTTATGTTTGTCAACGATAAGGTGACCAGATGTCCCGCTTTTGGCGGGACCGTCCCGATTCCTCACAATTTGTCCCGCGTTCAATTTAAAATGCTGCGGGACAGATTGTTAAAAAATCGGGACGGTCCCGCCAAAAGCGGGACGTCTGGTCATCTTTAGTCAACGATGTCCGTGGGCCAGGCATTAAGTCTCTAGCTGATGGGTCGCGGGGAGTTCTGGGGGTTCTGATGGACAGGTTGAGGTGGCCCGAGTGGTGGAGGATTACTGAGGGATCAGGTAGCAACTGGACACCAACCCATGTGGAGGGGTGTTCACGTTTGACCACTCGGTGTGGTTGCACTGGTACATACTGGTAAGTCTCAGCCCTGCTGGAGGCGCCAGCCAGTCCCCTCCCCGGACATCCTCAGGCCGGCCTGGCTGGCCTCTGCTGTCTGGGCCCCGGTTTCCCTCGCTACAGCCCATCCGTCAGCCCCAGAGGCTGGTGCAGACAGAGCTGGGCAGGCCCTGGTGCCTGATTAATTACCAGTCAGCTCCAGGGAAACAGTGAGTGAGCAGCAATGCCAGACAATTGATTAGGAGGCCCAGGAGGAGAGGCATCACAAGGCAGTGCTCACCGGGTCCTTCCCGGGACCCTGTCCTGTGGTCAGGAGGTGAGCACTCCAGAAGGGAAGAAACTGCATCGTGGCTGCTTGGGGCTCCCACTCCGGTGGGCAGGCCACGCTGCCCAGCTTGGGGACAGGGTTGTAAAGGTGGCATCTGGGAACTCAGGAGACGGAAGTTCAGGGAAGAACTGAGGATGTGGTGGATGAGTAACAATGAGTATACAAGCTGCTGTTTACTACTTACTCTAGCCAGTCCCTGTTCTATACACATGATCTCATTTAATCCGTTAGACAGTCCTCACAGGGGAGATATGATTACCCCATTTTACTGGCGAGGAAACTGAGGCTCACAGGGGTTCAGTACTTGTCTAAGGCTATCTAGCGAGTGATTGGTGGAGACAGGACGCCACTCCAGATCCACCTTACGTCAAAGCCCCCGCTGGTCACCACCACCCCACAAGCATCTATCTCTCCAGCAACTAAGAGGAAGCGGGTTCTAATCTGTTCTGAGCCTCTATTTCTCATCTGGAAAATAGGGATAAAGTACCTGACACATACATGGAAGCTAGTGTTAGTGTCCAGGCAGAGGCTGGCAATGCCGGGAAACCTGGAAGGTGCAGGCGTGTTTAGCTGTGGCAGAATCACCTGCCGGGGGAGGCCTGATAGTGGAGAGGTCAGAGGGACCAGATTGTAAAAACTCTGAATGCCAAGGGCCAATGGCTTGGACTTGGTACAGAGGGCAGTGGGAGGTGCCATGGCTTTCAAAAGGGAAGTTCCTGCCAGGCGCAGGGCATTGTGCTAAGCTCTGGGGATATGGGCACTTAGCTAGATGTCCATGGTCCTTATTTGTATGTCGGGGACTAGGAACAATCCAACAAAGGCGTCCCCTGAGGTGTCCCCAAAGGAAAAGCCCAGGAGGCTCCATGCCAGCATCCGGGCCATGACCTGCATGGATCAGAGGACTCCCTGAGCCAGCGCCATGCAAGCTGAGCCGCAGGGAGTGGGAGGCAGCAGAAGAAGCGTGGGGCAGCATGCAGAAGGCGCTGAGAGCGCGGCAGGCCTGGAGGGAGGCCTGTGTATGACGGGAGAGGGGGCGGCGCGCTGGGCCGGGGATGTGGTGTGGGAGATCTGTGTTTAGAAAGAGCTCTCGGAGGGAGGCAGCGTGGGGGGGACAGACCCAGGGAAACGAGGCTGGAGGAGACCAGTGTGGAGGCTGAAGCCGGATCTGAGGCAGGGTACATGTGTGGTACGGGCGAAGGGAAGCAGGTTTCTTGGAGGTGGTTACAGTAGCAAAAAGCTGGAAGGTTGGGACGATCGGTCCGCTCCTCGAGCCCATACCACCGGCCCAAAGCCCCACGTGCTCTGCGTGCTTTTAGCGCAAAAACCCTCGTGGGTGTGCCTCGGAGCTCCTGCACGTGGGCGACTGCTGCCTAGGGTCTTGCGAGTCCAGGCTGTCCCCGCCCCCGGCAGATGCTCATTTGCGTTTATTTGCATAACATTCCCCGCCCCCTCCGGGGCCTGCAGCCTCCGGCCTTCCAGCCCTCAGGGCGGCCCAGCGCCCCCTGCCGGCCACAGCGGGTACCGCAGCCCAGTGTCGCCGCTCCAGCCCAATTCCCTCTGTCCGCTGCCCTGCTCCGGCGCCCAGAGCTTCCAGAAACAGCGCTAAAATCGAGCTTACCTGCAGCCCGATGTCTTTCAACATCTCAGCTCACCCCCTGCACTCAGCTACACCCAAATTCCCTCCGCGGTCTTTGGAAATGCATGTCCCTCTGTCGGCAGTTCCTCTTGCACCCAGCGCTCCCGGGAACTCGGTCAGGGCCTCGCCTGCAGACCCCTCTCCTGGGACACCTTCCCAGACACTCCTTCCTGACCCCCCCCCCTCCCCCGGTTCCCCGCGCCCCCCTCTGGGGGCGTTTCTGAAGGTTGGAGTGGGGGGTGCTCACTCCCGCCTTCCCCTCCGACCCCCAGGCCATTTACAAGATGGTTTCGTCCGTGATGAAGATGCCGGAGGACGAGTCGACCCCAGAGAAGAGGACTGAGAAGATCTTCCGCCAGATGGACACGAATAACGACGGTGAGGGCCGGGACGGGCACCCCCCCCCCCCGGGGGCCCTGCCCCCCTTGCCTCCCCTCGCTGGGGGCCGCCTCCCCAGACACTGTCCCTCTCCCTGCAGGCAAGCTGTCCCTGGAGGAGTTCATCCGCGGCGCCAAGAGCGACCCGTCCATCGTGCGGCTGCTGCAGTGCGACCCCAGCAGCGCCTCCCAGTTCTGAGCGCCGAGCCGGTCCCCTCCTCCCGCCCTCGCCGGCCGCCCGGCTCCCCGCTTCCCCTCCCGTGTGTCTCTCCAGGCTGGGGGTCCGATGGGCCTCCCCTCCCGCCCCGCCCCCGGGGTCTGCACTCTGCGGGGAGCCCATGGAAAAGGAAACCTGCCGTCCTCCCCAGGCCCAAGCAAGCGGTTAGCGCCCCCCAATGCCAGAGGCCAAGGGAGACAGGCTCTGGCGTGGTCTTCCCCTCCGAGCTGGCCTTCTCCCTCCTAACCCACACGCACAGCTCCGAGGCCAGCCTTCCCTCCCCCAGCCAACCCCGGGCAGTTCCCCCTCCCCTGCCCCCTCCTTGGGACGCCTCAGCCTGGGTGGAGGGCGGTGGAAACCGAGCCCAGGTGCGGAGCCAGGCTTTTTATTGGGAGGGGGGAGAAGGATGGGGCGGGGGGATAAGGAAGAAGCTTCCTTGAGCCATCCTTCCCTTCCTGCTGCAGCTTCTGTTGGCTGGAGGCCAAGCTGCAAAAGGAAAACCTCCCAATCCCAGGAACCCCTGCCCGCCTTTCAGCACGTGGATGAACACAGGCCCTCAGGCACAGGGGCAGACACACCTAACTGCCCCCCCTTCCCCGCCCCCATCCTGCGTGGGAAAGCACAGGCCCGGCCGAGCCCCTCCCCTGCTGCATGCCTCCGCCGAGTGGCTCTGTTCTTTTTAATAACTTCGGAATAAAGTCTCACTTCAGTGCAGAGTCTGGGTGGCTGGGGCGGGGTTCACAATCCCCACCCCGGCCCGGGAATGGCCAGCTCAGGAGTCCTGGCTGGACACAGTGCAGATGTGGTTGTGGGACCCCGTGCTCACGGGGGTGTGGCTGTCAGGTCAGAGGGTCAGCGGGGCGGAGCTGGGGCAGCCCATCAGGTCATGGCTCTCCACGGGCTCCGGGCTCTCCTGCATCTGTGGGGACAGACAGGCTGTGGATCTGGGTCTGGGTCTCCTTGGAGTGCCCCCAATTCGAGCCCAGGTGAACTCCCCCCCCCCTCCCCCCCAAGTCCTGGGCCTTGGGTGAACCAGGAGCCAGCCGGGGACTTAGCTGGGAGATCTCCCTTTGGTCCTGGGGAGAACACTGTCGCCCCAGTTCTCAAGTGGGAACGCCCTGCAGAGGGATGGGGGCTCCCAGAAAAGGAGGGGAGTCAAGGCCGCGGAGGGGAGGGCAGGCCTTACCATGTGGTGGCTGCTTTCCCCCAGCCAGGGCCGCAGCTCCAGCAGCTGGTGGGCGAGCTGAGAGCACCGCACAGCAAACACGCTCTCGGCCATGCAGAACACGAGGGAGATGCCCCAGAGGCACAGGCTGGAGCTCTGCGGACACAGGGGCAGAGAGGCCACGGGGGCTGGGGGGGTGGGCACGGCTCCAGGACCCTTCCCACCGCTGATGAGCACTTGGACGACACCCCCTCCCCCCCACTCCCCACCCCACCCCGGGCCTAAGCACTCACGTAAATGCGCGTGGGGTCGAAGGGACAGTCAGGGGCCAGGGCCAGCAGTTCCGGGTTCTCAAAAGTGCAGGCGGCCAGCAGCGCCCGGCCCTGGGTGGCAAAGGTCACGGCGATGGAGGCCAAGAGTCCGAGCGCGCAGGTCAGAGAGAGGAGGGCACAGGCCACACTCGAACTGAAGACGGCCCAGCGCTGGGAGGAGAGACCACGGGTCAGTGGAGATCAGACTCCACCCCACACGGGCAGTCCTGCCCCCCATGGGGTCAGCTCGCCCCCTCCAAGCAGGCCAGGCCCCTCCTTCCCCTAAGCCCCGTCCCAGGAGGCGCCACCTACCAGGGGGATGCTGGGGAGGTAGCGTGACAGCACGATGGCGGCGATGCCCGAGATGATGACCTGTGGGGAGACTCCGGTCAGCCCTGACCCTCCTGCTGGAGGAGAGTGGGCAGTGAGGTCAGGGCCTCCGCAGGAAGGATCCCACCAATGCCAGCCAGAGCGCTCCGACCTCCTCCCCTGCTGAGCCTTGGCCTCATGACTCCAATCTGCATGGAGGCGCTGCCCCCAGGTGATGTTTCCAAAGCACAATCACTTCCTGCCTACAACCTGCCATGGCTCCCCACTGCCCAGCGCTGTGTGTCTCAGACAGGGACCTGTGTATCCCGGGCCTCAGGGGTATGCGCCAGGATATGTCTGACTTGCCTCCCTGGAGTGGAAGAGATTTGGGAAGAAACGCAGTAACTAGGCTGTCAAGGAACTAAAAACAAATAAACAAATCAGGGCGCTTTGTGGAGAATTCACAATCCTAGGAGTACATTGTCTCAGGCTCTCGGTGACCTGGCCTCCGTCCCAGCGGCAGCGCAGCCCCACCCTGCCAAGTCTCTCCTCACTGCCCCGGATGTGGGCACCCACACAGCCTGCCCAGGACGCTGTCCACACAGCACCCTCTCAGCCCCGAGAGCTGGCTGTGTAAGCCCCCGGCTGCCCCCCGGATCTTCGGGGCTCCCCTCAGCCAGGCTTCCCTCCTGAGCTCCCTCACTGTACCAGGCAGGGCTGCACCCACAGGAGGCATCACGGGAGGCCAGCAGCGTCTTTAATTCCCTGTGCAGCCGTGAGCAGGTGCCTCAGCCCCTCTGGGCTAAGGCCTGCTCTGCAGGATGAGCTTATGGAAAAGACGCCGGCTTTGGTGTCACACATTGTGTCGCATCCAGCGTGGCCTCTATGTTTTAGCAGGAGTCTCTGGTTTCCCCCTGAGTCTCTGGTTTCCCCCGGTCGGGATAATAACGGCCCCATTTGCTGAGAACAGTGAGAATTAAATGAGGAAATGAGGGTGAAGCGGAAGGGGTCCATCCTTGGAGCCATAACCCTGAGCTCACGTCCTCCCTTGCCTTCCATCCAGGCTGGTGAGAGGAAAACACGTCCTAGTAACTCCAGAGGACGCTGCACACATCGGCATGGCTCAGCCCGTCCCGCTGACTGTGCTCTCCCCGCTGGGCTGGCTGAGCTTCACCAGGCAGGGGAGGGAACAGGCGGGCAGGGGGAAATAAGTCCCTTAGCCAGGAGGTGGCAGGGAAGGCCTGGTGCTGTGGCCTCCTCTGTTACTAGGTGGGGAAGAACTTGAGAATATCGGGCTCCTTCATTCACGTATTCATCAAACGGGTCCTGACCTCCGGTGTATCCTAGCTACCATTTGCCCAGGACTTAGCGTGGACCAGGCCTCATGCTGAGCTTCCGATGCCTGGCTTTTCAGTGTCTCCAGAGCAGATCTGAGCTACTCCCACCCCCATCCCTGTGCATCTGCCACTCTCTGTGCTTGGAATGCTCTCCCAGCTTCCTCCACCACCTGCTGGCCACACACGTGGGCGATGGCAATTGCACCCTATCTTGGAATTCCTGCTCGCCCGTCAGTACCCAGTCCAGGGGCGTCCACTTGGGCGAGGCCTCCTGAACCCCCTCCAGCTGAGCGGACACTCCTTCCTTCGTCCAATGGCGTCTTGTCATGATAGCAACCACCCCAGCTCCCAGTGGTGAGGCTGAGCGTGTGTCAGCCACTGTGCCCGCACTTTATGTGGACGATCCCGTTCGGTGCTCACGAGGACCCTGTGTGGTGGACGCTGCTGCGAGCCCACTTTGCAGACGAGGAGGCCGAGGTAGAGGCTGTGTCGTTGGTAAGTTGCCGAGCAGGGGGAGTGCTCGGGCTCTCTACGTGCCGTCCCGGGCTCCGGGCGGAGACTCATCGAAAAGCTTTCGGCCCCCTCCAGCCCGCCAGCCCCTCCCCGCCGGGCATACCAGGATGGCGGAAACGACGGAGAGGATGTTGACCACGCAGTACTGCAGAGCCACGGCGTCGTGGGGGGTGGCCACGTAGCGCAGCACCGTGCCGTGGAGCAGGGCTGCCGCGATGAAGCTCACGTGGCCCAGCACCACCAGCACCAGCCCCGTCTTCATCAGCACCTTCCGGAAGTCCCCCACACTCAGGCCGCCTGCGGGGGGGCAGTGCGTCAGGGCCATGCGGGGGGCTCGTCCTGCCCTGTTCTCGGGGACCCTGTGCCAACAGGCAGTTCCCGGGAGTCAGGGAGGGATGGGGCCATCCAGGCACAGACACTCTGTGACCCTGCACCAGCCCCTCCTCCGGAGGCCCCGATCACTCCTGTGTGAACGCGGAGGGCTTGGTCTGGCTGCTCTGAGGACCCAGAGGCTGCAGGACCCCTGGAGCGGGAGCTGGAGCGGGAGCTGGAGCGAATGTGGGAGAGTCAGAGGGAGGTGACAGGCTGCACAGGCATGTGGGACTGGAATGGCGTCGGGCAGATTAACTGCTCGTCAAACAGGAAGGGGCACAGCAGCTTGGTTGGTCCCAGGGCCCTGACCCACCTCGCTGCATCCACCCACCCACCTGCAACCCAGATACTACGGGCCCTGAGCCGGCCCTGGCATCAGGGATAAACAACAGCAGGATCCCAGGCCCAAGACTTCGGTCAGACTGGAGGCACCACCTCAGGGCCCTGAGGGGAGCACCGAGCAGAGTCTGGGCCACGCCCCGGCTTCTGTGTTTCCAAGCCACCATGCTCGGAGCACTCAGCCTGGCTGGCACCCTGGTAGGCACCTTACTCTCAGAGCTCCTTTATGCTCACGGTGGTCCTGAGGAGGGGGGCTGCCACCCCATGTTACAGCTGAGGAAGCTGAGGACCACTGGTCTCTCGGACTCCCCAGGTTGCCTGATGCCCAGAGCCCGGGAGCGAGGGCAGGGGGCACAGCCACCCACTGCTCTAGGGTCCTGTTTGCCATGGTCCTGCCCTCCCAGCCCGGGTGGGGAGCCCCGGGAATGGACGTGGGAACACTGGGCAGGGCGAGGAGGCGGAAGGCAGGCGCCTCTGGCTCAGAGCTCCCAGGCCCGGATTTCCTCTCTGGCTTCCTCTGGGCGAGGGGGGTGCTCTCCCCTCGGCCTGGGGGGGGGGGAAGGAGGGGTCCCCTCCTGCGCAGGAGAGGGAGGTGGGGAGAGGCCGGAGGGGCTCGGACCAGATGCCAGCATCCCTCCCAGCCCCGCGGCACAGCTCAGGCCGGCGCCCAGCGCCCTGCAGAGAAGCGGCCCGGACTCCGGCTCCCGCTCCCCGACAGCGCTCCGCCCCTGCAGCCTCGGGGGTTCGGGGCCCCGGGCGCACCCCGCGGCTCACCCAGGCGCAGGCACATCTCGGCTCCCGCGCGGGTCCCCGCGGCGGCTCAGCGGGGCTCCGGGCGCTGCGGGCGGCCCGGGGGCTGCGCTGCCATCCTGGTCGGCGGCCGCCGCGCGCCCATCCGCGCCCACTTCCCGCCGGAGCCCGGCCGCCGCCTCCTTCCCGTCACCCCCCGGGCGCCCGCCCCGCCCCGGAGGCCCGGCCGGCGCGTCCGGCCGGTCAGACCGGCTGGGCGGCCTCCCCGGCCCGCCCGCTGAGTCACGGCGCCGGCCCCACCCGCCCGCCCGGCGCACGGAGCTCAGTGCACTGTAGCTGGGTTGGTAAAGTCCCTACTGTGTGCTCCTGCCAGGGCTGCACTTTGAAAAGGGTCTCTAGAGAGTTTTCCAAGCATTTTCTTTTTCTTTTTTTCTTTTAAATATATTTAATTGGTTGTTTTACAGAGAGGAAGAGAGAGAGAGAGAGAGAGAGAGACAGTTAGAAACATCCATGAGAGAGAAGCATCGATCAGCTGCCTCTTGCACACCCCTTACTGGGGTTGTGCCCGCAACGAAGGTACATGCCCTTGACCGGAATCGAACCTGGGACCTTTCAGTCCGCAGGCCACGCTCTATCCACTGAGCAAAACTGGGTTCGGCTCAAAGCATTTTCTTATTTAATATCACCACGAGCTTAGGGGACAGTCATTACTACCCCTGTAGACAGAGGTCAACAGGCCAGAACAGAAGAGAAAGCAATTGCCCGGGGTCACCCTAAGGGCAGACCCTGTCCTGCACCCACTGGGATCCTCATTCTCTGGGAAGAAGAAAGAGGATCCCAGCCTTCACCCTGATCACAATAACCAGCCAATATGCACACGACCCCCTCTCCTGCTCCCCCGCTCCTCTGAGCTCCTTTCCACCTGCAAAGTGGGCATCACCGAAGCGGGGGCGGCCTGGTGACAGCTGTACCAGCGCCCACTGCGTGCCCTGTGCATTGGGCACCTGGGTCAGCACACCCAGGGCCTCTGGAGAGTGAAGGGAGCACAGGGACCCCACAGGAGGGAGTGGGGCCCTCTGGCCGGGCCTGGAGGCCCCTGTGACGTCACAGGCCACACAGTCAGGCGGTGCTCCCCTGTCAGGCGCCGTCTGAAGGGGGACGATGCACGGAGGTGCAGGTGGGAGGAGAAGTGTGTGAGGGGAGAGAGAGAGGAGGACAGTTCCCAAGCCATCGGCTGGCATCTGGATGCTGGCGTCCCTGTGGACGGCCTCCTCCGAGGGCGGCTGGCAGGACTCGTCTGTATGGTAAATGTCTAACACCTGTGCTCGTGACCCAGCAAACCCACGTCCGGGTCTTTGCCCCAGAGGGCAAAGGGACACATGCCTCTAAGGATGCTTATGGACAAGTTGTTCTAACAGCAAGTTACAGCACTAACATGGCAGCCAAGAGAGGTACGGCTGGGACAATCCTGCGAGGGAAAGATTGTCACTGTTTTACAGAGGAGAAAAGTGAGGCAGAAGGTCAAGGGCTCTTCGGAGATCGCCCAGCACACATCAGCGGTAGAGCCGAGACTTGAATCAGGCCTGTGAAGGCAGCCCTGACTTGTTTTTTTAAAATATATTTTATTGATTTTTCAGAGAGGAAGGGAGAGGGATAGAGAGCTAGAAACATCGATGTGAGAGAAACTTCGACCAGCTGCCTCCTGCACACCCCCTACTGGGGATGTGCCCACAACCAGGATGCCAGTCCGCAGGCCAACGCTCTATCCACTGAGCCAAACTGGTTTCGGCAGCCTTGATGTCTGAGTGTGGCTGGGGACAGTGGGGAGCCATAACCCCAGGAGTTCTGTCCCCCTGTTTCTCCCCACAGTTCCTGGCCAGGGCCCAGCCTCGCCGCCGGAAGTTATTGCTGTTTGTCTTCCTTATTGCCCATTGGTCAAAGTCCACTAGTCCGAGCCGCCCAGCGCCCCATGCCTTGGCCCCACCCCTCTGCACACTGGCCTTGGGCTCCAGGAAGAACCCCAGGCCAGCTCTCTAGTCACCTGTCCTCTACCAACTCCCTGGACACACTGGCAGCTCACTGTCATTCCCTGGGCCTCAGTTTCCCCATCTGTCACACAGAGATAATGATTGCCTTTCCTGCCTCCCAGATGCTGGAGGCATAATGCTTTGAGGGATGTGAGAATGGCTTGGAACCTCGCCAGAGAAATAGCAGTAGTCGTTCTCTCTCTTCCTGGAACATTTAACAGCCAGGTATGGCATAGACTGCAGGCTGGGTCTGCCCAGGGCTGCTCTGCAGGGGTGGCAGTCCAGGCTTCTGTCCCTGTGCACCCCCCTCACCCTAAAAAAGGCCTCTCCCCAGTACAGGACAGTTCCTCCATGTGATTAAAACAGTCCCCACAAACCCTACCCTATTCCAATGTGGATATAGGTGTACATGCGCACAGAGCTGAAAGCCAGCTGATCATGCTTGTCTGAGAAGAGGAGGTGGTTAACGGGGATTTTTATGTGTTTACAATGAGAGATTCTGGATGGTGTGAATGGGGGCGTTGGTTATTGTTTGTATTTTTTATACCTTTTACATTTCTTAAAAAAAAAAAAAAAAAACTCAGCCGAAACCGGTTTGGCTCAGTGGATAGAGCGTCAGCCTGCGGACTGAAAGGTCCCAGGTTCGATTCCGGTCAGGGGCATGTACATTGGTTGCGGGCACATCCCCAGTTAGGGGGTGTGCAGGAGGCAGCTGGTCGATGTTTCTCTCTCAACGATGTTTCTAGCTCTCTGTCCCTCTCCATTCCTCTCTGTAAAAAAAAAAAAAAATCAATAAAATATATTAAAAAAAAAGTTCATTGTAGAAAATTTGAGGGGCCAACAGGAAAGTATAAAGAAGAAATCAGAACTACCCACAATCCTCTCTGCCCTCACAGAAAACCACCATCCACATTTGGAAGGTTTCCCCATGTGTGTCTATCTTTTGTTCTTGAGACGCCTGCCCCCTGGCTTTGCTCTGCCAGTCCTTCTCAGCACCTCCCTGTCACCCACCTCCACCCATCAGCCTGGGGTTTCCAGATTTCCGTCAGGCAATCTGTGCTCAGGTCCTGCTCATCATGTGAACGAGCCTCCTCAGGGACCTTCATCATGACCTCAGCCATCCTCTCTGGGCCACGCCTTGAACACCCCCTCTGACATCCCAACCTCAAACATCCCTCAAGGCCCAGCATGCCCGCCTCCCGACGCCGCTGCCCTGTTTGCTGACTTCACAGAGGCCACAGCCCATTCTCTCTTCTGCCGTTAGGCCCCTGCTGACCTCTTCACCACCAAACCTACACCCCAAGGTTGAGCGCCTGAAAGCCAGCTCAGCTGTTCAGGTGAGAAGTGAAAAGTGTAGGGGACTTGGCCTTGGACCAGGATAGCAGCTATGGAGATGGAGAGCAGAGGGGAGATTTGAAGGATGTGATTCTAATGCACTTGGAAATTTTTGGGGAAAAAAGCACTATTTTAAACCCATTTACCCCCTTACCTTATTCTCCCAGTCACCCCTCCAGCCCCACATGGACACTACTCCATGCCACATCCTCTTTCTGCTACGTCCTTCCCATTGGCTACAAACAGGCCCAAGTCTCTTCATCCGACAAAAACACACCCTCCCTCAACTGCCTTTGCATTTTTAGTTACTTCCTTTGCATTCCATTTCCAGTCGCTTCCAAACTTCCAGAGTGGATTATCTTACCTGCCGTCTCCATCCTCTCCACTCCCACCTGCTCCTCAGCTCACACCAATGCGGTCCAGCCCTTGTCTGGGTCACCAGGACATCACTCCCCTGAATCCAATGGAAGCACCTCTTTCCTGGCTTCCTCCTACCTCTCTGGTTGTTCCTTCCCAGTCTCCCCTGGGGGCTTTTGTCATTAGCTCGGCCTTTAAACATTGGTATTCCTATTTCTGCTTCCTTTCTTGCTTGCATTGGCTGGTTCATGCACTGTTGTGGTTCCCTTTTTATGGTGATTGTCAAATCACTGTCCCTCAACTAGACAGCTCCCCTGAGCTGAATCAGACTCCAGGATCCAATTATCTTATCTCTCCACCTGTGTGTCCTCAGTCACCTCAAGCTCCACATGGACTAATTGATGGCTTCATCTTTTCTCCTAAACTGCTGCTCGTGTATTTTCTGTCCCAGTTGGTGGCATCATGATGAACTCAAGCCAAAACCTGGGACCCGTTCTTGGCTCTTCTGTCTCTTTCTGTATCAAGTCACCGATTAAGCCCTGCGGATTTACGTCATAAGTGTTTCTATAACAAGTGCTTCCTCTTTGGTCCTGCTGTTACTGCCCTTGCCCTTGTTCATGGAGCATCTCTTGCCCTGCAATTGTTTTTTTTTTTTTTTTTTTTTTTTTTTTTTTTTTTTTACACAACTAAGTAATCCTCCTAAAGTATAAACCAGATCACATTACTCCCTACTTAACATCAAAAGTAACACAAAAGATGCCCAAACCGGTTTGGCTCAGTGGATAGAGCCTCGGCCTGCGGACTGAAGGTTCGATTCCGGTCAAGGACATGTGCATTGGTTGCAGGCACATCCCCAGTGGGGGGTGTGCAGGAGGCAGCTGGTCGATGTTTCTCTCTCATCCATGTTTCTAGCTCTCTATCCCTCTCCCTTCCTCTCTGTAAAAAAATCAATAAAAAACATTAAAAAAAAGTAATACAAAATAAAGAAGACAAATAAATGAAAAGGTAAAGGGGGTTCTTGGATTCTAACGTTTAATGTTGTTAGGATGACAATTCTCCCCAAACTGATCTACAAATTGAATGCAAACCCTATCAAATGCCTGGTTTTAAAAGTAGAAATTCACAAGTTGATCCTAGTATCATATGGAAATGCAAAAGATCCAGGATAGCCAAAATAACCATAAAAGGAAACAAACAATCACACTTCCCCATTTCAAAATGTACTACAGATCTACAGTAATCAGTACAATTTGGAACTGGCATAAGAATAGACATACAGATGAGAGGAACGGAACTGAGAGTCCAAAAATAAAGAAACTAG